ATGTTGCAAATTAAATCCTTAATTTAGAATTAGCTTTTATTTACCAAAATTATTGTAGATTACATTCTTTAAAGGGCTGGAGCTATAGCACAGCGGTAGGGCGTTTGCCTTGCACGCAGCCAATATGGCCGACCCGAGTTCGATTCCTCCGCCCCTCTTGGAGAGCCCGGCAAGCTACCGAGAGTATCTCGCCTGCACAGCAGAGCCTGGCAAGCTACCCGTGACGTATTCAATATGCCAAACACAGTAACAACAAGTCTCACGATGGAGACGTTACTGGGCCGCTTCGAGCAAATCGATGAACAACGGGAGGACTGTGACATTCTTTAAAACATTTTAGGTTAGTAATTTTAATAATATCATCTGTGACAAAATAGAAGAGTAGAGATGCAAATATATTTTAAACAGAGATCTAGGTTTCCATTTAAGATTTCAATTACTGAGGCCTAAGTGATATATCTGAAGCACTTTGAGTAGTAAGGGATAAGTTTATTTGCTGGGTTCACTTGTTCAGTGCCTATATATTTTGTATAGACATCAAAGACACACTCAAAGATCTCAGATGGAACGTCTCCTGGTTTGTATTTTACTTCCCAGACTTTAAGTTCCATTGTTTGGGTACTGCTTGTGCCCACGTGGCCGAGCACATGTAGGCTGAGCACATGTGTCGCCCGCGTCTCCCCTCTTGAGATGTGTACTTTCATGCTTTCGTGTCTAATGCTGGGATGTGTGTAGGGGCTCTCTCTCCACCCTTGGAGAAGCCCATGTTCTCTCTTGAGTACGTTATTCTCTTTCTCTCTCTCCTCCGCACCTAAAAATCTTCCAAAAAAAAAAAAAGCCTCATCTGTTTCCAAAACTCATTATTTCATTCAGTTAGGTTTTTGATAGAAGTATACCAGATAGGATTAAAGTTTTTTCTCCTTTTGGGTCAAGGCCCAATAGTACGCTGATAGGGCATTTGCCTTGCAAGTATCCAACCTGGGTTCTATCTCTGACATCCCATATTTCCCCTAAGCCCTCCAGGAGTGATCTCAGAGCTCAGAGCCAGGAAAAAACCCTGACCACTTAGAGACAGTGATCTGAAAAAATTCAAAATTTTTTTGAATAAGTGAAAAACAAAAGTAGCTGTCTTTTGAGGGGCCTACCCAGGGTCATGCCTTACTACTGGCTGTGGGCTCAGGGATTACTGCTGCTGGTGCTCAGAGTACCATTTATGCCGTGATTGAACCCAGGATTCATCATGCAAAGCATGTGCTCCAGCTCTTTGGGTTCTTTCCTTGGTTCTGACATGTACCTGAACCCTTATTAAGTTATAACTTATATCTGGCTCCACTCCCCGTTTACTTATTACTATATTGTGCATTTCATAACAACCCGAATCGGACAATTACACTTGAATAAATGTGCCTCACTACCGGCAGTTTCTATCTTTGTTGTCTATGCACCAACATCCAGTTATGGTGAAAGAGAAACTGAGAAATTCTACATGGAGCTGGAGAAGTTCTATAAAGAAGATCACACCTTCTACAAGATCATTGTCGGTGATTTTAATGCCAAGATAGGACCAAGAAGATCAGTCGATGAACTCCACATCGGGACCCATAGCCTAGAATGGAACGAACAGGGTGACAGACTGTCTGAGTTCATCTTGTCAACCAAAACCTTCCATGGTAACTCACAGTTCCAAAAGGCTGAATCTAAACGTTGGACATGGGAGTCTCCCAATGGACGGTTCCACAATGAAATAGACCACATCATATTCAATTGGCGGTTTTGCCTAACTGATATTGCTGTTGTCCCAAAATTCCAAACGGGATCAAACCACCGTCTTCTTCGTGCAAAATTCTACCTCACAGAACGAGGAGAAAAGAATGCAAGGTTTAAGAAGAGGACTCCCAGAACAACCACCAACTGGGAGCTCTTTGGCTCTGTTGCGGCAACATGGGAAGATGCCATCATTGACAACATTGATGAGGAATACAATCGAATGATTCAGCATCTCCATGATTGTGCAAGGAATGCCAAGAGAGAGATAACCACAAAAAACCGCCTTTCTTTGAACACTCTTGAACTTATTTGCCAACGTGGCTTGGCTCATGCCTCAGGCGAACATCCGAACTGGCAAAACAGTGCAGAGAAGCCATCAAGGATGACCTCAAAAACAGGAGAGCAGCAGTACTGGTAGATGCGGCAGAAGCTGGGAAAAGCATTCGTAATGCCCGCCTGTCCTTCACCAACTACAAAACCAAGATGACTGCCCTCCGACATCATGATGGATCTATCACATCTTCCAGAAGGGCAATGGAGAAGATTATTCATGACTTCTACTCAGATCTCTTTAATAGCCACGTCCACTTGCCCACATACCACATACCACATGATGGATATGTCGTTCCCAATGTTCTCCCTTCCGAAATCCAACATGCCATCTCGTCGGTAAAGAAACAAAGAGCACCTGGCCCAGACAAGATCAGACCTGAACACCTGAAAAACTTACCATCAATTCTCATCAATACATTGGCTCGGCTCTTCACACACTACCTGTCTGAATGCAAGGTTCCATCCCAATGGAAAACCAGCAGGACTGTACTACTATACAAGAAAGGAGACATCCACGACATTTGCAACTATCGCCCAATCTGCCTATTGTCTGTCATCTACAAACTATTCACTCGAGTCATCCTGAATAGGATTAGTAGAACACTAGATGAAGGACAACCATGTGAACAAGCTGGATTCCGTAAAGGATTCAGTACCATCGACCATATCCACATGATTACTAAGGTCATTGAGGTATCTCGGGAGTTCAAGATGCCGCTCTGTCTAACGTTCATTGATTTAAAGAAGGCCTTTGATTCTGTTGAGACGGAAGCGGTCATGGAAGCCCTAGCCAATCAGGGCATTCAAGCCCAATACATCAAGATCCTCCGTGAGCTGTATTACGGATTCACTACCAGGATCTCATCATTCTACAAAGAAGTGATCGTTGATGTCAAGAGAGGGGTGCGGCAGGGTGATACCATTTCACCAAAACTCTTCAGTGCCACCCTCGAGAACATCATGTGACGACTGGAATGGGAAGGCATGGGAGTGAAGATAGATGGTCGGCAACTACACCACCTCCGCTTTGCTGATGACATTATTCTAATAACACCAAACATCAGCCAAGCAGCACAAATGCTGAACGACTTTGACCGTGAATGTGGAAAGGTCGGACTACAGCTGAATCTTACGAAGACAATGTTTATGAGAAACAGCCTTGTTCCTGACGCTCCATTCGCTCTCAACGGAACCACCATCTCTGAATGCAACAGTTATATATACCTAGGTCGAGAAATCAACATGATGAATGACCTGGCACCTGAGTTGCACAGGAGGAAGAGAGCGGCTTGGAATGCCTTCAAGAGCATTGAAGAAATAACTAAAAGGACAAAGAACCTCCAGCTACGAGCACATCTCTTTGATTCCACTGTTCTTCCTGCATTAACATATGCCTCAGAGACCTGGACCCTACGAAAACGGGATGAGAACGCTATTCGGGTATCTCAAAGAGGAATCGAAAGAACTATGCTTGGAATATCACGATTCACTCAAATGAGAGATAGAATCCGGAGTTCTGATCTTCGTCAACGCTCAAGAATCAGGGACACTGTCTCATTTGCCAAGACATCAAAAATCAGATGGGCTGGACATGTAATGAGGTTTACAGACAACCGCTGGACTAGAGCCATTACTGATTGGATTCCACGGGACATCAAAAGATCACGTGGACGCCCACCTACAAGATGGTCAGACTTCTTCGTCAAGACCCTAAATGATCGGTTTGAGGCTCTGCATGTTCCTAAAATGAACAGATACCATTGGGCTACACTAGCACGCAACCGGGATGAATGGAGACGTTACTGGCGCCCGCTCGAATAAATCGATGAATAACGGGGATTAAGTGATATTGTGCATTTCAAATTAATTTAATTTGGGATACCGGAGATTGAACTTGAGTCAGCCACAGGCAAGGCAAGTGCCCTGCCCACTGTACTATCGCTCTAGTCCCAAATGTCGTTGTCTTTAAATTTTTTTTTTCTTTTTGATGAAGCAAATAGTTTTTATTGAAAGAAATTTAGAGGTGAGAGCAAGAAGACGCAGAGAGGGGACATCATGTTCAGGAGAGAACATGGACTGCTCCAGAGGGGGAGGAGAGAAAGAAATATGGGTTCAAGAGAGAACATGAGCCTAGAATGGGTTTTGGGAGGAGGTTATGCAATTCCTCCAAATTCCATTTTCTCACATTTATATTGATCTTCATGATTTACACTGTTGTTAGTGGACATTACAACAGTATACTACCACCAGAGTGTCAACTTCTGCCTGTATCCCAGGGCCAGAACACACCCTTCCTGTCTGTCCCTCCATCTCTCCTGCATCCAGATAAGCTCAGTTCTGTAGATCAAGTGTCCAATTTCTTGTCCTAAGTTACTTGTCTCTATCTCATAAACAGGAGAGATCAGTCTTGTGTCTGTCCCTCTCCTTCTGACTTCACTCAATTCTATTCATGTGGTGATAAATTGCACAAGTTCCATTCTGTAGATACTAGGACAACAGTCTCTTCTTTTGGTTATTAATTTGTGAGTTAAAATTCTAAAGTAATATCAATCATTTCACATGGAAATTATGAATGATAGAATAGTTTTACAGTTTATTAAAATCCAACAAATCACATTAAATAAGGAAATTTAACTTTTTTAATGATTATTGCTTTTTTCTTTTCTCCCCCTCTTTTGTTATATATTTTCATGTTATAACTCTAGTTTTTATTTTACTTCTCTAATATGTCATTAGAATCTTAGTAAAGAGAAAGTAGAAATAAAGTATTAGTGACTAAGGAGAGAATTAGAATTTTTTATTAGAATTAGAATATTTCTAATGGAGATAATTTATGTGGTTTTGTTTTTAATTTCCCAATTTGGTATTTAACCAAGTGTGATCTTGATTTTTAATTCCAGTGGATGATTATGATATCAATGACTCCAAAGTAGAATCTGTGAAGCATGAAGAACTTCAGAACTCTGATATGAAGGATGATTTGTCTGATCTTGCTGCTCCAAGCAGTTCTGTTTCTGAGAAGTCTCCACGTAGTCCACAGCTTTCGGATTTTGGTCTTGAGCGGTACATGATATCACATGTTCTACCAAATGTTCCACAAGTCGTAAATAACCGTAAAGAAGAGCCAGAAATCATAACTCCATCTACCAAAGAATCACTAGTTACTGTACCCAAAACTCCAAAGTGTGTACTAAAGATGGATGATTTTGAGTGTATTACTCCTAAATTAGAGCATTTTGGTATCTCTGATTATACTCTTTGTTTAAATGACGATTACACGATAGGACTTAAAAATATGGAGAAAAATAAATGGTAAGCAACTTTCTTAAAAAATACATTTTTGTTTAACTTTATTAGTTTTTTGTGCTTAACTGATTTTCTTAGGATTTAGTCCTGTTTCAGATCAGATCTTTCCTTTGAAAGATTTTCATATACTGGATTTTCATACCCAGTATGAAAATCTTACCTACCTCCTACCCCCTACACACTTGTGGTTGATTCCAACCAGTCCTCCTAGCCCGTTTTCTCTAGCCATAGATATTAGTTTTCTGCTATATATATTTTTGTATATAAATATACACCACCAGTTCCTGGACTGACCTCTACTAGAAGTGGCCCATACTTAAAAGAACAAAAAGCTGAATATTGCTTTAGATTTGATACTTTCACTCCGCATGATACTCTCCATGTCCATCCATTTATAGGCAAATTTCATGACTTCTTCTTTCCTAACAGCTGTGTAGTATTACATTTTATAAATGTGCCATAGTTTCTTTGTCCAGTTGTCTGTTCTCGGGTACCATTTAACTCAGGTGGTAGTGAAGCTCAATTATGAGCTTATTGGGGGTTATGAGTAACCCCCCTCTCTCCACACACACACACACACTCACACACACACACACACACACACAAAATAGTTCCCTCATAACTCGTGATTGGTGTGTGCAGGCTCAGAGTTCCATCCTCAGCACTATGTGGCACCTTGGAACACCTCTAGGTCTAGCCCTGGTGGCCTTGAGTACTGCTAGGACTGTCCAAGTGGCCCTCAAGCACCACCAGTTCCTGGACTAACCTCTACTAGAAGTGGCCCATATTTAAAAGAACAAAAACCCGAATATTGCTTTAGATTTGATACATGGTAGGATTGTTTTCCATAAGTTTGATACTATTTTTTTTCCTTATTTTTTTCTTAATCATAACAGTGAGCAGTTCCTTGAAACAGAACTGATGAGTAATGATATTTCCACTGTTTCTCCTGACCCCATAATCCAGCGATTAGAAAAAAATGGTAAGTGTGAAAATCAAATTGTTTCTCAAAGCTATACTCTTTGCATAGAGTTGTTTTTGTGACCTTTGTATTTTCTTAGTAGCCTTCTGCATCTTAATTAATAAATACTGCATTAAGTATCATTCGAATGAAGTTGAACATATTATCGACAAGAGGAACATACCATTTTCTGGTGTTTTTTTCAGTACTCTTAATGACAAACATTGTTATCAACATTTTCTATTTCAGCATTCATATTCACCAATCTTGAAGAAATAGTACCCCTTTCTCCCATTTATCTTATGTATTTCATGAAATATGTTTTCATGAAACTGTAAAACCTAAATAGCACAGCGGGTAGGGCATTTGCCTTGCACGCAGCCAACATGGCCGACCCGAGTTCGATTCCTCCGCCCCTCTCGGAGAGCCCGGCAAGCTACCGAGAGTATCTCGCCCGCATGGCAGAGCCTGGCAAGCTCCCCGTGACGTATTCGATATGCCAGACACAGTAACAACAAAGTCTCCAATGGAGACGTTACTGGGCCAGCTCGAGCAAATCGATGATCAACGGGAGGGCCTTTACCTTTTACCTATAAAACCTAAAACTATTTTTTGTTTTCATTTTGATTTTGTTTTTGTTTTTGGCCCACACATGGTGGTGCTCAGGGCTTACTCCCAGCTCTGTGCTCAGGGATCATTCTTGGCGGGCTCGAGGGATGAACCTGGGTCAGCAACATGCAAGGCAAGCGTCCTACCTGCTGTGCTGTCATTCCAGCCACTGAAACTAGTTATTTGAATTATGATTGAGACTCAGCTGGCTATCTCAAATATATTGGCTTGTTTTTTATTGTCAGGGATTGAGCCCAGTCCACCCACCATAACCATGCCTGTGCTCTCCACCAAGCCTGGCCCCACCCTGACACATTTGTTATAAAATAGCACTGTCAGAGTTTTGTACATATTTCCAGAAAAAAATTTTGTTCTAAACTCACTGACTTCATTTTGTGTTATTGAGTTTCATTATTATGTATCTCGCCTGCACGGCAGAGCCTGGCAAGCTACCTGTGATGTATTCGATATGCCAAACACAGTAACAACAAGTCTCATGATGGAGACATTACTGGGCCCACTCGAGCAAATCGATGAACAACAGGAGGACAGTGACAGTGAGTTTCATTATGTTATCTGGTTCTCAGGCCGGAGCAATAGTACAGTGGGTCAGGCCCTTGCCCTGCACAGAGCCAGTCTGGGTTGATTCCTGGCTACCCCATATGATAGCCAAGCACAGCAAGGCAGTAGCGATCCTTGAGTGCAAAGCCAGTAGTAAGTCCTGAGCACTGCTGATTTTGCCCCCAATGCCCCCGTTTAAAAAAAAAAAAAGTCATCTTATTCTCCTGAACAAACAAATGTGAACTGACTCAGAGTAACCTTAGAACTTAATTCATAAGTAAAACCATAATATTAAAGGGCAGTGTGTGTGTGTGTGTGTGCGCACGCACGCATTTTAGTTTTTAATCCGGACCTTCACCCTGGCACCCCCATTCAGTGATACTCAGTCAGCATGTGCAAGCTAGTGAGGAGATGATCTGGCATGCTAGGGGCCACCCCAGTCACCTGGTCAATGAAGCTCAGGAATCATCCCAGTCATGTCCAGTTGTGCTGGGGGGCAGAGTGAGTATGAGGTGCCAGGATCAGGGCCACTGACAGAAAAGTAGAGAGAGACTGTGTCTGTTGAATTACTACTTCATGTCACACTCAGAAATTAATTCCCAATACATCATAAACTCTTTAGAAAGTCAAAGACTATCTTTGACTTCTGAAGTAGGATGAATTTTTTGTTTGCTTGTTTTTGTTTGAGGTTTAGGTATATGTTTCTGTGTCTGTGTTGTTTCTTTTTCTAGTGAAGCATTTTATTTGCTCATAGTTATTACGTCCTTAGAAAAAGTGTAGGATAACATTGTTTGTCCTTTCTCCCTCGGCACAGGGAGCTTAGGTTTATCAGGCTACACCTATCATAGTACTCCCAAGTCATTCCCATTCCACTGTGTTTATCTGTAAACTCTTCTCTGTGCTCTCCTCCCCAACCAATTAATCATCTTTTTCCCCTAATCAGATTGTTAGCTTGAAGATCAGATCCTTCTAAGGACACTGAACTTGTATTGTAAGTTATGTCTTTTGCATAGTTTACCTTAAAGCAATGTCCTTTCTGTATGGACACAGGAAGACAGTTGATACTATGCTTTTGTAACTTGGGCATTGATTGACTGAATAATATTTACTCCTGGGCATCTGCGTTCTTGACTCAGTTTCCCTTAGTTCCTAGCACCCCAAAAGCAGGGTCCCGACAAGGGACTGAATGGACCCAGGGCAAGCTGTAAGCTACCCTGCATTGATATGGGCCAGGCCAAAGCGCCACAATACTCAACTATAAGTTGAGGGCATGATCATGGACAGATGCTATCATGATCCAAAAATAATGACAAGACTAGGACCCTGATGGGGTTAGGAAGACTAACCTGGCCTGAGGACTACGGTCTGGAGTATATAGTGAGGTGTCCTCAGGAAGAACCAAACTGTAAGTTTATTTCTCTTACTGCTCATACAGAATGACATTGCTAGAAATAGATTTATTACAACTATTTAAGTGGATTACTAGTTGAGGATGGCTGGAGTGATAGCACAGGGGGTAGGACATTTGCCTTACACACTGCCGATTGGGCCAACCCAGGTTCTATTCCTCCGCCCCTCTCAGAGTGCCCAGCAAGCTACCAAGAGTATCTTGCACTCACGGCAAAGCCTGACAAGCTCCCCATGATATATTCAATATGCCAAACACAGTAACAAGTCTCACAATGGAGACCTTACTGGGCCTGCTCGAGCAAATCAATGAACAATGAGAGGACAGTGCTGCAGTGCAGTGCTACTAGAAGAAAGCGACACACCCTCGTTGGGATCCCACCCTTGAGTGGATCTCCTAGTAATCTGGAGTAATCTCCTTAAATGAGATTTTGTCCTTGAGTTAATTTCCTGGAGGAGTGAACTTAGCCCTCTTTGTTGATTTGTTGATGTGCAACCCACCTTTGTATCAACACCCTATGGGATTGCTGTATAAACTAAGACTGTAAGACTGAAGGGGGGCAGAGTCAGATCTCCAAGCTGGAAGGAGATTGAGGGGGAAGCAAGAAGGAGAATGAGGGGCTGGAGCAATAGCACAGAGGGTAGGGCGTTTGCCTTGCACGCGGCCAACTCGGGTTCGATTCCCAGCATCCCATATGGTCCCCTGAGCACCGCCAGGGGTAATTCCTGAGTGCAGAACCAGGAGTAACCGGAGGAATCTAGAGAGGAGATGGGAATAAACTGCAATTGATACCGACCAGCCTGGCCCTCGTACCTTCCTTTGCCTACCCATGGCTGTCAGCCTCCCCAGGGGGGGAGAAGTGGAGACAACTGAATGCAAGCGGCAGGAGAGATAGAGCGCTGCTGCCCTAAGAAACTACACAAAAAAGAATCCCAGAATTTTCTCTCCTGTGTTTTCCTCTTGTTTCTTCACGGTCCATGATGCCGCTGCAATTGTCAGTACAATGAAACCAAACTGACAGGATAGGAGAAAGTTATTTTATCATTTTTCTAGATCTTTGGCTGCACAGCAAATGTGGGGTTGATCACACCACACTTGTTCAATTTGCTTGTAAAATTCATGATAATTTTCTCCACTCTGATTTCAAATTTACTGATGAAGCTGTTTCATCGTAATGGTGAGGAATCTCAAAATGACTTTGGAGCACAGCCAGATGAGCACCTGTCACTTGCCTCACTTCTCAGCATTGTTGTTGCTTTTGAGGGCATCAGCCAGAACGTTCATACACACCATGGCAGCTCACAGAAAGATGGCAGAAAGAGGACGGAAAGGACAAGCACACAAAGTAATGGGTCTGACTGTGTTTGGAAGGGCAGGCTCCTAAATAGTGTTCAGGGGGCTTGGGCCATTCAGGGCTCTCAGGCATCTCAGGGCATCCCAGGTGGGATGGTTCAACGTGAGGATCAGAAGCTATGTGTGGTTCAGGCCCTCCAGCTTCAGGAACTTATTGGGCAATACTCAAGGGCCTTCAGGGCTACACCTGTCTATGCTCCGGGCACCATGTGCAGCCAAAGCTCCATCCTGGGTCAGTCCAAGTCAGGTATATGCAAGGCTGTGCTAACTCCAAGGTCCTTCGTACACTATTCTGTGATCACCATTGAAAGTTTGTTTCTTGTACATTGTGCAGATGACCCTTGTTACTCACGTATTGCATAGCTCCTCTTCTCGTCAGAGTATAAAGACACGTGTTTTGTTTTGTTTGCTTTATCTTTCACATATGGCTAAAATCATATTTGTCTATCTCCATTTGACTTATGACATCTAGCATAATTTCCTCAAGGTCTACACTGTCAATATAGACGACAATCCCCTAGGCCTCCGGAGACTGTTTTCTTTTTATTCTTTTCTTTTTTGCTTTTTGGGTCACACCCAGTGATGCTCAGGTGTTACTCCTGGCTCTGCACTTGGGAATTACTCCTGGGGGTGCTGGGGAGACCATATGGGATGCCGGGGATCAAACCCAGGTTGGCCGCGTGCAAGGCAAACGCCCTGCCCACTGTGCTATCTCTCCAGCCCCCCAGCGATTGTTTTCTCTTATTAATAGGAAGTGTCTATTCACCTTTCCAATTTTTTGATAGGTTAATGTACTTTGCTCTTAAATTTTTTGAGTGCTTTATGAATTTTGAATCTTAGCCTTTTGTCAAATGTGTGATAACCAAATACTTTCTTAGTCAATAGGATATTTTCTTAATCTAGTCATTGTTTCTTTTGCAGTGCAAAAGCATCTTAAATTTGTTGTAGTCCCATTGTTTATGTTTATTTGTTTTCTTGGCCAACATAACTTTCTGAAGATGACTTTAGAGACGGTATAATGGAGAATGTTGCCTGTATTTCCTCAGTGCATTTTAAGGATTTTAGGTCTATCAGTATAATGACTTTAAAGTTCAAGTCTTTGGTGCTGGAGTGATATAACAGCAGGTAGGGTGTTTACCTTGCATGCAGCCGACCTGGCATTCGAAAAGATCCCCTGAGCACCCCAGGAATAATTCCTAGGTGCAGAGCCAGGAATAACCTCTGAGCATCGCCAGGTATGACATAAAAATAAAATAAAATAAAACAAAGTTGGCATCTTTATTTTAAGTTTATTTTTAATATTTATTTTCATGCCATTCTGTGTCTTCTAGATGCTGAGTATACAAATTCCCCCTTAGCACCTACATTCTGCACGCCTGGTTTGAAAATTCCTTCTACAAAGAACAGCAGAACTTTGGTAAATTCCCATAAAATTAAAAAGCTCTACTTATTTTTTAATGACTCAGATACACTATTATTTCAACACTTGAAAAATGTGTTTAAAAAACTCATGAAGCCTCTGGGAATGTATTTATAATGTATTTCTGAAGGATAATTTAGTAACACATATTAAATGGTATAAAACCTAGGGACAGAGAGATAGTACAGTGGAAGGGCTACTTGCATTGCAAATGACCAACCTAGCATCCCATATGGTCCTCTGAGCACCATCGGAGTAATTCCTGAGTGCAGAACCAGGAGAAGCCCCATAGCACTGCAGGGTGTGACCCAGAAAACAAGAAATAATGGTCTAAGACCTTTTATGCCCTTTAACCATAGCAGAATTTATTTTTAGGCACATTGGAACAAAAACATAAAGAAATTAAAGAGGAAGGTTATACAGCATTATTTATAAGATCAACGTATGGGGGAAAATCCAAATGTCAAATTATAGATAACACTGTACTATTTCTCTAGCCTTAATAAAACCTTAAACTTTATAAAACAAAAATATAAACTCTAGCTTCAACTTTATTAGTATTTGCAATATTTTATTAGTATTTCCCATTTGATATTGCATTTTCAGTACTCAGGGAAGTGATGGTCATTTTGAGACTAAACTTGGAGACCACAGCAGAGCTACGAAGTACTAACATTTTTTGTTATTTATAAAAGATTTATTTTTATTCAATAGATGTCTACAAGCTATCCATTATCTGAAACAAACTGTTCATCAGATGAACTGGAAATGAAGGATTGCATATCATTAGTTTTCAGTTCGGATGAGTGCTTCAAGAATTTCACAGCTCCCTCTTCTCCTAAAATTTCTTCTTGTGAGAATCTGCTCCAAACACCAACACCTCCAGATGTAACTACAATTCCAGAAGATGTTCTCCAGGTTATTTTCCTAGCTATTTGTTTTTCTGATGCACTTTTTAAAATAGTTATTTATATTAAGAATCTGAAGCTGTATTAAAATGGTCTTGTTTATCTCCTGGCTAATAGGGTGGTTGGGTATTGAGAAAATACAAATCCTCGGTTGTTTGGCCCTTCTCAAGTCACCTGGTTAAGGCTCTTCTGAGCTCAGCACAAGCTGGTAACTTAATCCTTTTACGCCCTGAAGGAGCATTTTCTCTTAAATCTGTTTTCATACTCTGAAATTTGATGTCAGCCGTGCTCAGTAGACCAACCATACAGATGGAATGCTGGGAATCAAACTCAGATTAGTCATATGCAGAACACCCTATCCACTGTACCGGCCCACAAATGTTTTTTCTGAATAGTTTTTGGGTCCTTGGGGTAAATTCCAGAAGTGGAATTGCTGTATCATGTGGGAGATCAACCATATGTCCATATTGGGGCTTGAGCGATAGTACTGCAAGGAGGGCAGTTGGCTTGCACATGGCCGGCCCAGGTTCCATTCCTGGCATTTCATTATCACCATGAGTGATTCCTGAGTGCGGAGCCAGGAATTACCCCAGAGCAGCTCCAGGAGTGGCCCAAGAACAAAAATGAAATAATAAATTAAAATGTCCATATTGGGGCTGGAGCGATAGCACAGCGGGTAGGGTAGCGCCTTGCACGCGGCCGACCCGAGTTCAATTCCCAGCATCCCATATGATCCCATGAGCACTGCCGGGAGTAATTCCTGAGTGCAGAGCCAGGAGTAACCCCTGTGCATCGCCAGGTATGACCCAAAAAGCAAAAAAAAAAAAGTGTCCATATTTTTTACTAAGGCTAGACCAGCCAACATTCACAAAAGCAGTAGATGAGGGACACTAGTTTTTTTTTCCTTTTGGAAACATTTATTTAAAATGGATGAACTTTGCTCAGAGCTCTTCTCCGGGACTCTAGTTTCTAATCATTTTTAAAAGGCTTTAGAAATCAGCCTCTACATTCAAGTTAAATCTCTAATGAATCTTGACTGCTCGGTATCTATGCTGCTAGAGTTCTCTTTGGAACCAGAGAGAGAACGAGTACAAGCGTTAAGGCACAGACCCTACATACTCCCGCTCTAGTTCAATCTCTGATACCACATGGTCCCCCAGGCTTCCTTCGGTGTAGCACTGAGTCCCAGAACTCTGCCAGGGTGACCAGGCAATCCACAGCTTCAAATCCTAATACCCTGAGGTTGAACAACCTGCCTGCCTGGCCCCAGGTCTCAGCATCATTTGAGAGGTTCCCTCACCCTCAAAATTCTTATGTTTCAAATAACCCAGATCTTCCAATTTTCCTTGACTTTATTTGAAAGTTCCATTGTAACTTCCAGATCTTTGTTAATCATATGACTTGTTTGATTTATGTCTCTCATATGGTTATTACAAAGAATTTACTTTCTTTTAGATCTTATCAAAATACAGCTCCAACCTAGCTACTCCATCAGCAGTTAAGGCTGTGCCACACAGCAAAGAGCAGCTTACTAAATATGAAAAGCAAAACATCCGGGGCATCGGCAACAAAGAGAACTGGTGAACGTGAGTATGTTTTCCTCTTAAACAATAGGCTTGTGTTCTCTAAAGAGAAGATTTAAAAATCAGTATTTAAATAGCAAAATTGTTCATTGTTCACTTAAATCTAACATTTTCGACTTGTTGAATGCCTATCTCTTCTTTTGGTACAGACTTTATAAACTCTCAGACTCCCTAGCAAATTAGATGAAATCACTGAGACTCTATTTCCAGCTTTTTCCTAAGTGTATAGATGTATGGCCACGATCTTGTGTCACTTGTTTTATTTTGGCTATTCATTATATCTAACTGATATTTTACATTTTATTTTGCAGGCCTGTTAGTGGTTTCATCCCAGAGAGAAACGGAACAGAATGAGGTGGAGGCAGCGCTCCTCAATTCATTTTCTTAAAGCCAACCCACATCAACGACCAGCATTGGCTATTGATGCCACATGTTTCATTCAGCTTTAACTTTGATTTCAGTTGATCAGATTTTTTTGTCATTAAAGGTCACCTCCAGTGAGCTACTTTTGCTTCTCCACCTCCTGATCAGTTTTAAATATTATCATTTCATTGATTTAAAATTTACCTAATTTAACAATTACATAGTATTACAAGAGATTAAGTGATCTAAAAATTTTCTTTCCTTTTTGGGTCACACCTGACAGGGCTCAGGGTTCCGGGGATGAACCCCAATTGGCCACATGCAAGGCATTTGCCCTCCCTACTGTATTATCACTCTGGCCCCACGATCTAAAAATTTTCATGATTGCCACCGTCTCTTTTGGGGGTTCAGTGGTTATTGCTGCCTGTTAGAACTAGGCATCTTACTTGATTCTAGCTCTCCTTCCCTGTCTTCTGACTATCCCAGTCTATTATACCATGAATTACACCATGAATCTCACAGTGCTCATTTAAATGACAGTTTATATTCATTGAGGAAAAGAGGAACTTGTGTAACTGCAATGAAGGAAGGAGGTCTCAAAATCAGTTTTATCCTTCACATGTCTGCACCACTGGCAATGTTTCCTAACTCTTCTCCACCCAACAGAGCATGGGTCATATTTCTCTGCCAGGTGCCTTCTTAGGTTAGATACCCTATCATCTATGACCATGGGATCTCGAGCTATCAAGAGCTTCATTGAGTTTGCGAGCCTGAGCTTTTCCCTATGTAAGTATGGCTAGAAAATCTTTTCATCTAAGCCCATGAAGGCAAACTTTTCAAATTATGGCCAGAGGAAAAGGAAGACCTACCTTACCAAGGAGAACAGCTAAAATCTTAAAAAAGAAGTATCTGACTGGGGCTAGAGTGATATCACAGTGGGTAGGGCATTTACCCTGCTCACGGCCAACCTGGGTTCAATTCCCAGCTTTCCATATGGTCTCCTGAGCACCGCCAGGAGGAATTTCTGAGTGCAGAGCCAGGAGTAACTCCTGAGCATTGCCAGGTGTGACCCAAAAAGCTTAAAAAAAAAAAAAAGCATCTGACAGGTTGTTAAAGTAAGAATTGTTAGAGGGTTATTTCAAGATACTTTGTTCTGGTTTGGGGTTGGGGAGAGTCACACCTAGTGGTCTCAGGAGTTAGGGGTAATTCGTGATGGAATTGGAGTCAGCAGGTAAAAGCTCTACTTTATATATAGGGATGTTTCTCAGGTTTATGTCAGCCTTCATTCGTTGTATGTATGTATGTGTATGTGAATCTCCAGAGTAGATGCGATTGCTTAAGAATGGTTTGTCTGCACCCTAAAGGTATAAAAGACCCAATTATGTATCAAACATAAAAAACATTTCCAAATGTATTAAAGACTAAGATGGATTAAAAAAAAAAACCTTAGGCATTGTAAGAAAAGAAAACTACAGGAATAAGGAAGAGACTGACAGCCCCGCAAGACTGGAAACCTAGAATACAAGTAACACATTTGGTTGCTGTGATAAGCTGTAATCATGGCCATCCCCATTTCTTTAAATCTAAGATATGCATTTTGGAAACCCTCAGACTCTGACAAAGGAGCTGGTTCTCTTCCAGTGGACCTGTGAAGTGGCATAACCGGGAAGGATGTAGGAATAGAAGACAAGGATTTGGGGCACTTTGATAGTGGTGGTGTTAGTGCAGTAACTTTGTGCACCAAAAGCTCGGACATCTGTAAACCACACTATCTCAACAGTACAAAGATAAGTCTTTTGGATTCATCTAAAACTTTCTTTTACTATACCTTGTCAGGAAACTGTAAATGATATTATTTTGCTGAACTGTCTTTAAATGCAAAGAAGTGGATTATAGTCATTATGTGGAGCCTTTTAAATTAAAATTTTTGTTAAGATTTGTCAAATACGCAGTAAAATATGGTAACTGGGGTGAACATCAGACTGCAGTGCTGGGAATAAAAAGATGCTCCAAAAGAATATTTGTTTTGTTTTTTGCTGCACACAAAGCTCTAGGTTACTCCTGATAGTGCTCAGGGACCATATGAGATGTTGGAGCACACACTATCCACGCACTATTTTTAAGGAGGGGCCAGAGCGATAGTACGGCAGGGAGGGTGTATGCCTTGTTTACAGCCAACCATGTGTCCCTCCGAGCGCCCAATTCCTGAGCACGGCCAGTAGTAAGCCCTGAGCACTGCCAGGTGTAGCCCCAAAACAAAAATATTTTTTAAGGAAACATATAAACTAACCTGTTTGCTGCTTAGGTTCATATGCCTTGCATATGAGCTCTGCTGCAATTTGAAGCTATAGTCATTGGATCAAGGTTAAGGGAGCCTGATGTTTACTATTTAGTAGTTTCTTAGTATAGCTAGGTGCTATCTGATACAATCAATACTAGAATTGTTAATTTTTAAATCGATAATTTAACAAAAGCTGCCTTGTTTCATAAAAACAAAGTTTGGAATTTGTTTGAACAGAGGTGAGCTGACTTCAGCTAGCTGTTTAATACCTTTCTCTCCTGCATATTTGCCCTCACAAGCAAAGACATCAGAACTGTTACAAATCTGAAAACATTGGGCATTGTGGACTACATATACTCCAAAAGGAAAATTTCCCCTCAAGTGAGGCTACTTTAACATTGAGGATAGTGCTGTGATGGCTGCTGTTTATTTTATATTTGAGGTAATAGCTCAGTTATTTAACAAAGCACAGTGGAAACAAGCACTTATGAGGTAGGGGGGCAGAGGGAGTCATCTAGGTGGTACTCTAAAAGCCAGTTCAGTGTAAGGCTTTGAAGTGTCTGGAATTACCCAGGCTATGCCACTCACCAGGCCACTCCTGGCATTAAGTGTCCATACCATATAAAAACCAATCTCCAGGGTTGCTGAGGATAGACTCTGGGTCAGCCACATGCAAGGCTAGGGCTCTACCCACCCAGTGTATCTCCAACTCCGAGAAAGGTTTACATTTTTTTTCTCTTTGGGTCACACCCCACAATGCTTAGGGGTTACTCTGGCTCTGTACTCAAGAATCACTTTTGGTAGTACTCACAGAAACATATGGGATACTGGGGATCAAACCTGAGTTGGCTGCATGCAAGGCAAAAGAACCTACCCACAGTTGCTATTACTCTAACTCCAGTGTAATTTTATGACTCAGGTCTAGATCTTAGAGTTTGGAGTTAACTGCAGCCTAAAATAGTCACTAGATATAGGTTCTAGCTTCCTACTAATAACTTAGCAACAGAGAAACCATTTCATATAACCAACTAAATTTAAGACTGCCTTTGGAAATAAAACTGCAGTCTTACTCTTTAAGTGTCACTGCTAGTACTTATTTTTTCCTTCATAATATACAACTTCAATTTACTGCTGAGGGGAAACTCAGTAGTCATACTGTTTAAGAACACCAAAATGATCACTGAATAGTGCCATGGAGAATATGGTTCTAGATTTGCAAAAAGATTCTACCATATGCAAACAGCCTTACATGTCAGGAATTTTTCTAAGTCCTTTGCAATAATTTATTGCAAATTACACATAATGTATAACTATGTAGTTATACATTATGCAAAAAGGGGGATGGGGATCTAGACAAGCTTACAGAGCTACTGGCACGAGGGGACAGTGACTTAAACTCCCTTGCATATATGCAGGCTACCGAATGCAACCTGCCCACACGGCAGAGTCTGGCAAACTCCCCGTGGCGTACCCAATATGCCAAATACCAGTAACAATGATGGATCTCATTCTCCTAACCCTGAAAAGCCTTGAATATGGCACTTTTTAAAAAATTCTCAGGGCTAGAACGGAGATGTTACTGGGGCCTGCTCGAGGCAATCGACGAACAACAGGATGGTCGCGATTGTGATCTATGCCTCAGTCACATTTCTGTGATCTGCTCCAGTCCCTGCTCTTAAAAAGATTACTACTACCTGTTCATGCGACTTGACCTCATCTCTGGCTTTCTTCTCCCTTGGCCTTAAGATTCCTTCCCTCCTTTGTCAGATCTTCAAGGTCAACCTTCCTACCCTCACTAGAAACTCTAATCCTTATTTCCTCTAAGATACCTTATAATCATTTTCCCCCAAAAAAGCCTTCGTTTTCTTTTCCTGTTCCTTGAATCCATTTTAATCTCTCCACGCTAACTTTCAGTTTCTCTTACTTCTGAGGCCTCTGCGATGCTGCCTCTCACAACCCTAACTGCATACAGCCCCAGCCTCTCCCAGCTTTCTAAACCCCGGGACCATCTTTTTCAATTTTTTTTTTTAATTTTTATTAGTGAAACACCATGAGGTAGTTGTATACTTACAAATTTTTGTGCTTGGGCTTCTGTAACACAATGATCGAGTACCCATCCCTCCACCAGTGCCCATTCTCCACCACTAATGATCCCAGTAACCCTCCCACCCACCCCCAGCGCCCCCCCCCACTCCACCCCACCTCTGTGGCAGGGCATTCCCTTTTGTTCTCTCCTTTTGGGTGCTGTGGTTTGCAAAAGAGGCATTAAGTGGCAATCATATTCGGTCTATAGTCTACTTTCAGCATGCATCTCTTATCCTGGGAGGATCCTCACAACACCCTTTACTTGGTGCTCCCTTCTCTGTCTGAGCTGCCTTTTCCCCTAGCATGTGTGGCTGGCCTCCAAGCCATGGAGTGAACCTCGTGGTACTTATCTCGGCTATTCTTGAGTGTTAGTCTCCTATTTTGTTACTTTACATTCCTCCAATGAATGTAATCTGTGTCCCTCTCTTTCTGACTCATTTCACTTAGCATACTTTCCATGTAGTACCACTTGTTTCTTTAACTAGTCATCTGTTCTCGGGCACTCGGGTTTTTTCCAGATTTTGGCTATTGTGAACAGTGCAGCAATGAACATAGAAGTGCAGATGTTATTTCAACTGTACTTTTTTGCCTTTCTGGGATGTATTCCCAGGAGTGGTATTGCTGGACAAAATGTCTTAAAGTCTCTTTATGGTTTACTTGTGTATCTATCTAGAATTGTATAAAAATTCATCTGGTAAAAAGGGGTTCCAAGTGGAGTAAGTTTAAGCAGCCTTAGTCTAGCCTATAAACTCCTGCTGTCTGCAATACAATCCCATGGTTTAGGGTTTGGCCCCATTCCAGTGGTCACAGAGATACAGTAAAGGGGCTTATGCATTTGTCTTCTATGTGGCTGACCCTGGTTCAATCCCCAGCACTGCATATGGTAGGTATCCCAAGAACTCTGAGCACAAATCTGGGTGTAGCCCCAACTACATCCCAAGATAAACCTGTTCCAAGCCTCCATTAACATACGCAGATTGATCACACACATATATTTAACAATAGTTTTACATAAAATGCTAAGAGCACTTTTCATACTGTACAGAAAGATTTAAAACATGGACTTTCTATTAAGAGCCATACCAGAACAAAGTCAAAGCAAACTCCCAAATAGATGCTTACAATCTACTTAAAGTTTAAAGGCTTAATGGCAATAAGGAGGAAGAGTAAAGTTTATTTTACATAACTGAATGAAAAATACTCCAAGAAATAGCAAATAAAATTTAATAGGGTCTCATGCGCCCAGATGGTGGTGGTGCCCTATTTGGAGGGGTGATTGCTATGTCCAAATAATCTCCTATCTGGAACTTCTGCGACTGCAGGGTCATAGAATCATCTGTCCCCTTCCTCCCAGACATGGTGCTGCCAATCTCCTTAACTCTGCAGGAAAGAACAGATCAAGGTTATATGAATCACAGAAATCAATATAAATCTATATCCTCTCCACTACAGAGACTCATTATGTTACCCATATCAATTAAGACTCATTATGTTACCCATATCAATTAAGACATCAAAACTTGGGCCCAAAGTGAGAGTACAGTGGGTAAAGAAAGCACTTGCCTTGCATGCTGCCAACCCAGGTTTGATCCCAGTCATCCCATATTCCCCCATGCGCTGCCAGGACCACACTCAGAAACAAAAAAAACTTAAAAGCAAAACAAACCATCAAAACCGAGAAGCCAAAATCAAAGTTACCTACCGATAGCCGGGTCTTTTAAGGTCCGTAAAAACAATGGCAAAATTGAAGTGTGTGCCCTTCTTTCTAGCTTCTGGATAAACTTCCTTTACTAAACTGGTCAACTCTTTCAAGGTTGCATCCATCCTGATTAAAAAATATAAAGATTAGAGTCTGGAGTGATAGTACAGTGGGTATGGCGTTTGCCTTGCACGCAGCTGACCCAGGTTCGATTCCCAGCATCCCATATGGTCCCCTGAGCACTGCCAGGAGTGATTCCTGAGTGCAGAGCCAGGAGTAACAACTGTGCATTGCCGGGTGTGACCCAAAAAAATAAAAAAATAAAAAAAAATAAAGATTAATACCAAATACTGACATGCAATGGGTTGGCTACATGTTAATGGATTCAAATTAGAACCTATTATAATTTTAAATATAGTTTTAAGCAGCTAATGCCATTAGTTCCCAATTACTCTTAGCAGCCTCAGTATCTGAATTTTTGATAAAGGTCAGACAGTTGGTTAACAGAATTTTGAAAGATTACAGTTGCTATTTTTTGTCTGTTGCTTTTACTGGCCTAATAATTCACCTCTTTAAGGATACTAGTCCAAATTAACTCACTTAAAATAATTCAAGTGAAAGTGTTAGTTACATTTAAGTAACCCCAAAACTTACTTTTTTTTTCTTTTTGGGTCACACCTGGCGATGCACAGAGGACCATATGGGATGCTGGGAATCAAATCCGGGTTGGCCGCGTGCAAGGCAAACACCCTACCCGCTGTGCTATCTCTCCAGCCCCCAAAACTTAATACTTTTTAAAAAATTTCTGGGACACGTTTTTCTCCTCCAAAACTTAGAATCAATGTTATTGGAAAACATTTTCATAAGACCTGCAGTTTCTCCTAAGACAATCTTATGAAGAGTTAGAATAGATGATGAAGTCCTAGAGCCAACGAAACCTGAAATTTTCACAAGATCCAGCATAGGCTCTCTGCACAATAGTTGTTGCACTGCAAATACCTGAATTCAGAACTTAATTTAGTACTGAGTAAATATGGCACAATCTAGAAAAATCTTTTAAAATAGAAGCACTCTAGATATATAAGCTATATGATTTTTCTTTCATGAAAACTGGAAATTAACTGGCTAATTTGTTTGGAATTTGAACCAGCATTTCTTTTTGACCATTACAGAATAGCACAAGGATACTAAGAACCCAGGAAGATGAATAACTAATACACAACATCTTACTGGGAACTGAATCCTTTTGAGGCAAGTTTTAACTCTGTACTCTAAAATCTCCACCAGAGTTAAAAAAAAAAAAAAGAGCTCAACTAACAGTAAAAACAGCCAAGATGATCACATCACCCCTAATAAACCCCTGACTGGCACCAGTTAAGAAATTTGAAATCTACCCCTCCTAAATAATTGAGCTCATACAGAAAAGGTCTGATGCAATCACATGAAAAGGTCCCAAAAACAGCAGAGGACAGGTGGGTAGCAGAGCAACAGAACACTTGCTCTGCATGACAGGTTCTAAAAAAAAAAAATAGCACAGAGGCAATCCTGAAGGATTCCAACTCCGCACAGCTTCAGCTTGAGAATTCCATGCTTCCTGGTGAAACTGGTTAGTTCCAGGAACCTCCACAACTGTGATAGCTAATTCTTGGAAATGAATCACTCTTTTCCCTCAACTGAGTATAACTGCATAGTATTAGTTTCAGGTTTCTGAAACTAATTATTTGCTTCTGCAAACTCCATTGATTGTGTTAGGTCTATGTCTCAGTTCCTTGGCCAACTTCGATAAGGTGAGATCCCAAGAACTAGTAACCATTCTCTTTTCTAAATCTACTCATGATACCCCACACCAATCATCCAGACTTGTGATAGTGGGCCCCCCAGGGCTAGTTCTCTAGCTTGTGCTCAACTCCTCTCCCCCATTTATGCAATTTACACCTGGGAGCCCACATGGATCTTTGGCTGAAAAACACTGCTCCAATCTTTCAAAACTGAAAGTCTTGCTTCCCATTTTAAGGTCTGACATAATGTTGCCCTCTCTGCTTGGGTGCAACTGGGAGGCACGGGACTACTTTGCTTAAAGACAGTAGACCTGGGGGGGGGGGGGGGGGGGAGCAGGCAGAGATAGAGTACAGCAAGAAGGGCTCTTGCTTTGCATGCTGCTGACTTTGGCTCAAGCCCAGGCACCCTACATGGCTCCTTGAGCCCTGTCAGGATTGATCCCTGAGCATGCAGCCAGGAGTAAACCCAGGAGTGGCCTTCCCCAAAAAAAGAAGGGGAGGGAAAAAAATACATTTTGCTTAAAGAAGGGGGTCACTGAACGACCAATTTTTTCTTTTGCCCTGGAAAGGGAGTAATCTGGGTAAATAAATTTGGAAAACTAAGTTAAATCAATTTTCTTGGAACTTTTATCTTGGAATAACGAAGAGAATCATGCTTTCATAAATTTAATAAGCATCTCCCAACACAGGATCCCAATACTCTGAAAATGAGTTCTAATATACTAGGTTAACAGTAATATGCACATACCTTGCCAATGTAAAATGGTGAGGTCTCTATGAAAAGCTTATCAGTTCCTCAAATGAAACAGACTAACATATGATTCTGCATTCATTCATTTTTATTTTTTGCTTTTTTTGGGGTGGGGGTCAAAGCCAGCAATGCACAGGGTTACTCCTGGCTCATGTACTCAGGAATTACTCCTGGCGGTGCTCAGGGGACCATATAAGATGCTGGGAATTGAACCCGGGTCAGTCGAATGCAAGGCAAACGCCCTACCCACTGTGCTATCGCTCCAACCCTACTGCATTCATTCTTAGTACAAGTTACTCCCATGACCCAAAAATATTATGTTCGTGTGTGTGTGTGTTTTAGGATGCTTTGGGTAAGGAAATTCATCTCTACTTTCTATGGAATAAAAACAAGGCATTTTTAGACCCCCCTACAAATTAACACCAAATAAGAAAACCAAGAGGGGCCAGAGCAATAGTACTGTGGGGAGGACATTTACCTTGCACACAACCAACCAATTCCCAGCATCTCATATGGTCCCCCAGCAACGCCAGGAGTGATTCCTGAGTGCAGAACCAGAAGTAACCCCTGGGCATCGCTGGATGTGACCCCAAAAGCCAAAGAAGGGAAAAAAAAGAGCAAGAGAACAGCTGTCTTACTTTTGGAACCAAGGGAAATCTGTAAGGACCCCAAAGAATATAGAGCTGGACTCATAATCTATATCTTCATTTTAAACATTTTAACATTTTTCATTTCACATCAGTATCATTCAGTATTGGATATTAACCCTAAGTTGTAGGATAACACTGTTTTGTACTTCCTCAGGTAGCTTAGGTTTATCGGGTCACATCCATCCCAGGACACTGAACTTGTATTATACAAGTTAATATTGCCTTTCTCCTCTCCTTATGTCTTTTGAATAGTTTACCTTAAAGCAATATCCCTTCTGTATGGACACAGGAAAACAGTTAATATTATGCTTTGTATCTTGGGAGTTGACTGACTTCAAATAATATTTACTCCTGGGCATCTTTCTTGGTTCAGTTGCCCTTAGTTCCTAGCACCCCAAAAGCAGGGTCTCAATGAGGGACTGAATGGATCCAGGGCAAGCTGTGAGCTACCCTGGCATCGAAATGGGCCAGGCCAAAGCACCAAGATACTGAACTATAAGTTGAAGGCATGATCATGGACAAATGCTGTCATGACCCAAAAGTAAGTAATGACAAGACTAGGACCCTGCTGAGGCTAGGAAGACTAACCTGGCCTGAGGACTGCGGAATGTACAGTGAGATGTTTATATCTCTTACTGTGCTCACACAGAATGACAGTGCTAGAAATATTAGGAGTAGATTTACTACAGCTATTTTAAGTAGATTACTAGCCAGGAAAGAACACACCCTTGTTAGGATCCCACCCTTGAGTGGATCTCCTAGTAATCTGGAGTAATCTCTTTAGATGAGATTTTATCCTTGAATTAATCTCCTGGAGGAGTGGTCTTACCTCTCACTGGTGATTTGTCAGATGTTCAACCCACCTTTGTGTCACTGCCTTCTAAGACTGTAAGCTTGGAAGAGCAGAGTCAGAAGTGAGAGAGCTCAGGCTCCAGAGATCCAGAGTCAGAGCCAGAAGAAGGGGTTCCAGATTGGGGCCCAGGAGAGGAGGCAGCAGAGGAGAAACAGGAGTGAAGAGGATTGGAATAAACTACAACTGGTATCGACCAGCCTGGCCCTCGTTTCTTCCTTCGTCTGCCCTTGGCCAACAGCGGCACCGAACACGGGCGGTGAGACAGAGCTGTCCAGAGAGCCCATGAACACACAACCTTCAGCATGCATAAGATTTTACACTAGGCTTTATCAGTGAATTACCCCTTATCCTCCTCCCAGAGAATCTTACACTGTTCTTATAAGCACTCCTAATCCCCGAGTTTATCTTTAACCTTTCCTTTATGTTTTACCTCTCATTGTCACAGTCCCCCAAGTCAGTCTTGGTTCCTTCTGAGCCAAAACTTTCTGGTAATTCTAAACTTTGTAGTGAATTACCTGCTTTTCTATTTCTCCTATGGTCTTTTCATATTTTACTATAGAGCAATACTATTCTTTGCTCAAACACAGGAAGACTGTTAATTCTATGTCCCTAATATCTGGGAGCTGACTCTAAAATATATCCACTCCCAGATATCCATCATAATTACTTGACTCACACTTCGGTTGCTGTAGCTCTTAATACCCCCAAAAGGGAAGTTCCGCCATGGGACTGGGTTGGGACAAATCTTGAAGCTACCCCAGCATCAAAATAAGACAGTTTATAGTCTACTTTCAGCATGGTTCTCCCATCCTGGGAGGATCCTCCCTTTATTTGGTGCTCCCTTCTCTATCTGAGCTCCCTTTTCCCCTAGAATGTGTGGATTGGTATTTGATCATTGTATAACTGAAACCCAAGCACAAAAATTTGTGTCTACAACTGTACCTCATGGTGTCTCACTAATAAAAATTTAAAAAAAAAAAAAAAGAACAAGGAATGTGTTCAAAAAAAAAAAAAAGACAGTCTAGAAAACATAAATGTGTGGTCTTGATGCAAGCTGTTATGACTTAAGAGACAGGACCCCCAGGGGAAGAACAAGCTGAATTGGCCTGAGGACTTAGTCTGGGATTTACAGTAGAATCTTTACTTGCTCTCAGAGAACTAAGTTTGGGATCTTTATCTCTTACTGTGTTTATCCAAACGAGTGCAAGCATTGATAAGAAGTAAACTTAATTGTTTGACTGTTTGATTTAATTGCTTGATATATAGATATATAGAGAGGGAAAGGGAAAAGCAATACAGATGTCCCTGGGAGACAGTGTCTCCTTGAGTTAATCTTCCCCCAGAGAACTGCCTCTACTGGACTGTTTTACCTCTGAAAGCGATCAATCATGCAAACATGCAGTCCTCTACCTCTGACTCCTTCATATTCTGTAAGTGTGCTAGCAGCTCTGCACTAAGTGGGCCACTGTCACCACCCATCTGTGGTTCCCCAATCTTTGTCTCTGCAGGAGAAGCTTGAGGGCACTCAGCCACCAAAAGCAAGGGGGGGGGGGGGGGTAGCAGTACACCCGGCTTTGAGAACTCACAATTCACAAAAGCCCAAAGGCAAAGGTAGTAACAAAGGCGCAGCTCTTTAACCTCATTAACTAGTGAACAAACAAATGTGTCAAATCCTCATTATGGGCCATCATTCTGCAATAAAAATGAAGTGGCACAACAGGGATGTGCCCTGAAAATAATAACGCCAAGTAGACAAAGCAGACATTGGAGGAGAAATATTGTGAGAAGCTTCTAGAACAGGAAAATACTTATAAACGAGCATCAACCAGGGGGGCGGGGGAGGGAGACCTGAGTCAAGGTTTATGGGTTACAATCTCTGAGGCAGGAATGAGAAGTTTGGAGACAGGTAACCGCAAGGCCTGCACCGCGGAACTGTCCCACTTAGGGCCAGTTAGAGTGCAGCGGACACGCGCCGCCCCGTTCTGACGCCGGGACAAGTTCCATCGCGCATCTCGGCGGCACTGTCCACCGCGCAGGGCTGAAGTCCCGGGTCGGGTCCCTGGGGGAGATGGAAAGTGCCGGCTCCTACGGACACTAAGAAGTCACTATGGGGACTGGAGCGGGAACACTGCGGGTAGGGCGCTTTCCTGGCACGTTGCCAACGCGGGTTCGATCCCCGACACCCCACATAATCCCCCAACCCCGCCAGGAGTGACCCTTGGCGCAATCGGCCCCGAGCAAGCCACTGACACCTGGGCGGCCGGAGGAGGTCAGGAAAGAGCTCTGCGATCGGCCCGTCGTACGCCCCGCGGAGGCGGGAGAGGTGCGCGACGGGGCTAGACCACCCTCAAAACCCCGAAGTTTCAGCGTTCCCCCCCTTTCCTGAACCCGCTTAAGAGCCGCGACTGAGGAGCCTAATTTGCGGAAACTGGGAACAAGGGGGGGTGAGGGCTTCTTCCAAGCCAAGGGAGCAAGCCGACGACAACGACCCTCCCCCCACCAACGCCCCGAAACGCAGGGGTCCCCCGCCCGCGCCTCACCAGGTGTAGATCTGCAGCTCGCTCGACGGCACGTTCCCGCGAGAGAACTCGTCCATGCGGTGGTGGCGGCCGTTGTTGGTGGTGAAAACCCGGAGCAGCAGCGGGCACGTCTGCGAGGAAGAGCAGGGGAGGGCGGCAGGAAAACGTCAGGGACGGCGACGGCCCGCGCGGACGCCGTCTCTCCGGGGCGGTCGGGCCCCGGCGCCCCCTGAACAGAAGCGCCCCCACCGCCCCGCTCTCCGCCCCTCCAGAACCGCGTCCCCACCTTCTCCCGGTCGATCGGCTTCTCGGGTTCCTTTTTAATCTCCTCCTGGGTAACGCGCGACTCCACCGCCATCTTCTTCCTAGGGCCCGGGAGACGATCACTTTGACCTCCGACCCCCGCGGCAAGCATGAGCACGCAATCTCTCGCGAGGATACGCGAGAATCCTTATAAAGGACCAGGCGGCGGGGCGGGGAGGCGGGGGCGGGGCGTCTTCTGCGCAGGCGCACTCTGTGTGCGCAGAGCCGGCCCGGGGCCGCGCTTGCGCATCACGCGCTCTGGGAAAAGGCGGGCGGTGGCGTGGACCTGTTGTCGCGCGGTTAGTTGCTCGCGGCTTTACCCCTTGATGTCAAGCAAACTGTGCATAGGGATAGATTTTACATGTAATGACGAAGAATTAAATAACCAAGCGCTTAAACCCATAGGCATAGTGGCCTTTTGTTAGCGGCGCCTGCGAGAGGGAGTGGCAGTGACGAGGCCGCAGCGTCTCGGCACTGACTAAGGGGCAGAGGCTCGGCCCGGCGCCCGCGCGCGGCCCTGGGTCTCTGTGAGAGTAGGCGGTGTACGGAGAGTCTGTCAGGCTGAGAGCAAGAACGTCCAGCACGGAGGATCAGGAACGAGGAAGAGCTGATGTGACACGAAACTGAACGGATGTGTGCTACACCATACACAGTACAGCGGGCAGGGCGCTTGCCTTACACCCCAGACCCAGGGCTCCGACCCCAGCACCCCACGTGGTCCCCTGTCTCTGAGCATGACGCTCCTGCAGGAGTTAAGTCTGAGCTCCACTGAATGTAGTCCAAAAACAAGCAAGAAATCTGGAAACAATCCACGTTTAAAGAGTTGGGTTGGGGTCAACAACAGCTACCAAACAGTAATAAAAATGAGCAAACTACAACTGTATAAAACTACAACTCCATGAAGCAGTGTGAATTTTACAAATGACTACGTAAGAAGCCAGACATAAAATAGTTTATAACACGTGAACCCGTTTTTAGAATATCGAGTGCAGACAGTGCTAGAACTATAATTCTAGGTGATTAAACTATAAAAAATAATTTAGCACAAAAAGACACATAATTACCTCTGAGAAAGAAAGATGATTCAGGAGTGTTTTGACCAGGTGTAGGTGATTGTAGTTGTGAGCAAGAAGATTGGGGTGAGGGGACTAGCAATGAGTTCTTGGGAAATGATAAAATCAAGAGGTGATTCAAAAAAGTTGCTCTCCCTAGGTCTAAAGTAGCCAAAAGCATGAAGGCTGGACCTACTTTGTGAACACAGGACTGTAGCATGGTAAGATTAGTGCCAATTTCAGCCTAGGGAAGTCTAAACTCCCTCCCAAGAGGAGAAGATCCAGGAAGAACCAAACAATACTATAATAAGAACATGAAGGGGTGTCTCTCAAAGAGGAGCAGTTTGGGAGAAAACCTTTGCTGTACAAAGGTTTTTTTATTTAACTTTTTCTAAATTTTTTTAATCTTAGGATCCTCCCCAGTGGTGGTTGGTAGTGTGGATTCCACTATCTGGCATTCAACCCTGCAGTTAATGCCTGATGTTTTAGTACTGACTGGGGGCCACTGGGTCACATCCGGTGAACTGTATGCATGCAGACAGAACCAGTGCAGGGTATCGGTACAGGGTATCAAACTCAGGGCCATATGCATACAGATGGGGACAGCGAAGACCATGTGCATGCAGACAGGACCAGTGCAGTACAGGCTATAAACTTAGGGCCATGTGCACACAGATGGGGACACTGAAGACCATGTGCATGCAGACACGAACATGTAGTACAGGGTACCAAGCTCAGGGCCATATGCTACAGATGGGGACAGTGAAGACCATGTGCATGCAGCCAGGAACAGTACAGGCCATGTGCATGCAGATGTTATGATGGAAATTTGTGATATTTATCCTTGATTTTATGATTGATAATATGAATGCTTGTTGGCTGCTTGTCTGGAGCGATAGCACAGCGGGCAGGGCGTTCGCCTTACAAGCGGCCAACATGGCCGACCCGAGTTCGATTCCTCTGCCCCTCTCGGAGAGCCCGGCAAGCTACCGAGAGTATTCGATATGCCAGGCACAGTAACAACAAAGTCTCCAATGGAGATGTTACTGGGCCCGCTCGAGCAAATCGACGATCAACGGGAGGGCCTTTACTTACTTTACTTACTTTTAATATGAATGCTTAGATATAATTTTGCTCTTAGATAAAATTTTAAGATGCCCAGCCTATCTGCACTTGGAATGAATTTCCCTATTTTAAAGTAAGAAAATGCTGATTGTAGAACACTTCCTGTAATGATAAGGTACAATAATATGTGTATGCTCCCGAATTTTTTTGTTGTTTTTTTTTTGTGTTTTTGTTTGTTTTGGTTTTTGTTTTTTTCTTTTTTGGCTCCACCCAGTGATCTCAAGAATCACTCTTGGCGGTGCTCAGGGGACCATATGAGATGCCAGGAGAGAGCCTGGACGGGTCACATGCAAGACAAATGCCCTCCCCACTGTAATATTGCTCTAGCCCCTCCCACATTACTTGAGCATGAAAAATAGTATTGATAAGTTTGCAGTTATGCCCTATAAAAACAGGTTCTTGGGTCCCTGAGCTTTGTGTAAGGTTTACGGTGCTTGCCTAGCCTAAAAACACTGGTCTGACCAGCTGGTATAGCACTGTAGCACTGTCCTTCCGTTGTTCATCGATTTGCTCGAGTGGGCACCAGTAACGTTACACAACAAATTGTGAGACTTGTTACTGTTTTTGGCATATTGAATACGTCATGGGTAGCTTGCCAGGCTTTGCCGTGCGGGTGAGATACTCTTGGTAGCTTGCCGGTCTCTCCAAGAGGGGCAGAGGAATCAAATCCGGGTCGGCCACGTGCAAGGCAAACGCCTTACCCACTGTGCTATCACTCCAGCCCAAGCTGGTATAATAAAGACCATTTATTGTCCTCGTGATCCTGTCCTTGTCTTGGTGTGCCTGACTAAGCGAACTCCTGTTACAACAGAACAGTACAAGTTATGTGTCTTTCCAAATGGGCTTTTGTATTTGGGGACAGGTACCTAGGAGTGAAATTGTCGATCTGGTGAAATATCTATCTTTCGCTGTTTGAGACTATGCCTGGTGCTTTCCACAGAGGATGAACAAACGCTCTTCCCACCAACAGTGGGTTTGACTTCGGTGGGGCTGCTTCTGTATCAGGCCTCCACCTGTCCTTGCTTTTGCACACCTGTTTCTATTGCTCACAGTCTCCCACCGCTTTCCTTTCTGTCAGTGAGGTGTAGCTTCATCTCCATGTCCCCTACCTTTTCCCTCATTGTCACTGCACAGATCAGTTCTGTCAGCACCCTTACCATGTCCATGTATGACACTGTGATGTCATACATCACAGGCTGTGTCTGGCATAGGTTACTCCATCAACCAAAAGCTATTTCCTTTCTCTCCCCATTCCCTGCCCTCAAACAACAGCCTCTTACACAGATGAGGTTTTCTACCTTCCCCCACAAAAACAGTAAGTTCTAGCTTAAGACATGAAACCTCTCTGAAGTCTTGATGAAATGTAGATTTCCTTTGGGGAAGTGTGAAAGGAGGGTCTGACTTCCTGTGGCTTCCCAGCATCACTGCCGCTGATGTCTGCAAAGATTCACGGACCTGGTGATGAATCCAATCTCCAGTTTTTCTTCTCAGCACTCTAACAGGTCTTTAGAATTCAATCATCACACCCTTCAGCCACCCTACCCTTCGGCCACCAGTGTGAAGTCTACTGTCTCATTTCCAGCTAACCTCAGGTTTTTCTTTTTATTTATTTTGTGTTTGGGGGCCATACCTGGCAGTGCTCAGGTCTTACTCCTGGTTCTATTCTCAGGGGTCACTCCTGGTGGTGCTTGGAGACCATATGCCAGGGATTGAGCCAGGTCAGTAACCTACCTGCTGTACTCTCAGGCTTGTGGGTTGGTTTTTTATTTAATTTTGATATCTCATTTTGCTTCTAATTTCTTCATTCCATGGTTTTGTTGCTGTTTGTTTATTTAATTTGGTTTGGGGGTCACACCTGTAAATGCTCAGGACTTACTCCTGCCTCTGCGCTCAGGGAACACAGAAAGGAAAGCGGTGGGAGACTGTGAGCAATAGAAACAGGTGTGCAAAAGCAAGGACAGGTTGAGGCCTGATACAGAAGCAGCCCCACCTAAGTCAAACCCACTGCTGGTGGGAAGAGCGTTTGTTCATCCTCTGTGGAAAGCACCAGGCATAGTCTCAAACAGCGAAAGATAGATATTTCACCAGATCGACAATTTCACTCCTTGGAAAGCTCAGCAGACCATGCAGGGTGCCAGGGATCAAACCCCAGTCAGCTGCGTGCAAGGCAAACACCCTACCCACTGTACTATCACTCCAGCCTCCTGCCTTGACTCTTATTAACTATGGTTTTTGCTTTACACAAGTGACATGCCCTCAGCCATATGCTGATCCTCACAGAAGTAATAAACAGTAATAAATAGAAGTAATGATAAATAAAATAATATTATTTAAATTAAAATAATAAAAATTTCCAAATAATGTAGGTGGTTGTGTTCACCACAATGCTCCCTGGGATCAATTTTGCTACAGGACAATGCTCTGAGCTGTCTGATTTTATGTCACCTGATCCCTGCTGATATCTCTTTCTTTCAGATAAAAGGAAGCTTAATGCAGTGACAAAGAGTATTCGGATTTGCTCATGCTTGTGCTCCTTACCTACTGACGATCTGGAGGAAGTTCGTTCATCTCTGCGAGCCTCAGAGTCCTCTTCCGTACCAGAGAAAATCAAGCCACCTTCAGGAGACCACTAGGAGCACTCAGACGCCTTCTTCAGTGAAAAGCGATGAGGGAGTGCTTGCAAGTCACAACCTTAGATAGGAATGGTTCATGGCATCTTTGTACTTCGGTGAGAGCTGTTTGTGAAATTTGTTTGGGGAACTTGGTTTTGATAGATTTTAGGTTTTCTAACCAGTAACTACTGTGTTATTGAATAATAATTTTATTATTATTGTTGTCGCTGTTGTTGTTTGGGTCACACCCGGCAATGCACAGGGGTTACTCCTGGTGGTGCACAGGGGACCACATGGGATGCTGAGAATCGAACCTGGGTTGGCTGCCTGCAAGGCAAACTCCTTGCCCGCTGTGCTA